CCGCAAAAAAATCATTGCATATGTGATGATCTTGATCTCTAGTCGATGCCAACTTGCAAATGGATTCATTAAGCATCCGCAAATGAGAAGGAACGACATATAATGAATGTGGAATTCGAACTCTGAATTATAACTCAACTCATCCAAATGAATATTGAGGGAAGTATGTGTGACGAACTTCGATGAATGAATACAAAGCTCATGCCGGAAAATAGTTTCAAATGTATATTACTTGCAAGTTATAATGCAAGATTTTTAATACTATAACCAATTCATGGAAGTTATGTTAATTGGAATGCAAATTGTCGATTAATAATAATGATAGTGTTTTCATTCATATCATGAATTGAATGACGATGGTTGGCCAGTAACATTCATCTCAATCATGTAATTAAATAGTGAAAAAATGCTACATTGACCACAATGAATATATGATGTACTGCTGATCTAATCCAAATTGAGAAGTACAAAATGATTGCAATTTACAAACAATAGATGTGACATAACTGTAAATAAATGCACTATAGTAAAGTGTCACATTCATGCACATCATATAAATACACTATATGCTCGACGAGTACATTAAACTAGGATATTATATGTCAAACACATTATTACAAGGTACAAATGCATCAGTTGATATATACACATGTATGAATAAGCAAATATATATGCGAGTATGATAATATGCATATGAGAGTGTAAATGTGTATAAATAAGCGGACGTATCATATACACACACATTACACTACATACATATAACTATCATACAAGTGCTAATTAACAACATTTACAAATATATTGTGTATGCTATTGATCATTTGTAGAGATACAAAGTGATCTCAAAATGTCCCCACACGTGTACCACAATATGTATACACATAAGTGCACATAATTGTATACCCGTATAGTCCTAGATGAATATGTTATGGGTACACACGTGACGTTTGAGGATGTTGTATGGGTCAAATAATAAATTTAAGTTCAAGTCTGGTCCTTTTATGAAAATAGATAAGAGTCAACATGGCTCGAACTATCAAACAAATATAACGTCACGACATTGATCGAAGTATTTGTTTTAATATATTTATATTAGGCCTTTAAAGCCTATGAATAATGAAAATATGTTAACAAAAGCATTCAACCAACTATATTCCGATCCTCTGTCAAAAATTAAGAAAGTTGACTCTGTTCAATTAATAAATAAAATTACCCATAAATTTCGATGATGGTCGTGTTGAACGTAAATCTCAACCGGATGGGTTAATTCAAAAAAATCAAAATGCCAACTAAAAAACCATAAAATTCAACAACAACAACAACTACATCAAGCCTTTATCCCACTACGTGGGGTCGGCTACATGAATCCTTTTTCTCCATTGTGTCCTACTCAAAAAACCTGGCAACGGCAGTGTTTAAATAACCATAAAATTCAAAATCTCAAAAAATGCAAATATTTCAAATTGGAATAAACATCATAATATTTAAAGTAAAACCCATCCACCATTCGCAATAATTTATCGAGGTGGAAAAGTTCAAAATATACTTCATCTCACAAACAGCCAGTGTCTCGTCGATAGTATCACTAAGATTTATTCTCAAATCATCTCCTACCAATAAGGATGTGTCATGTGTCCTCTAATTGGATATTTTTTATGCCAAATGGCACTGCAGTTAAAATGGTTATGATTGGGGCCCTCTAAACTGGGAGGTTTTCCACTAAATAGCACCACTAAATTACAGTTATGGCCAGAGCTCGTATGCTCCTCAATGACACTAAATTATTGAGATATGAATCAATAGGATATGATCAATAGAGCACAAAACCATATGTTTGCTAAGATGGTTTCAAATTTGTCCCCTTAGATAAACATCCACCCTAGGTTTACAAGGTTCCCTTAGACGACACAACTTATGGCTGACAAGGATCTTTCTATTTGATTGGGTCGACCACCTCCTATAACTAAGTAGACCATGGACCATGATGGTCCAGGATGATGGAACCATCAAATCTTGGTTAGGCTGATCATCCATTCCCCTACCATCCGCTTTAAATACAAGACAGTGAAACTTCTAATTTTTAAATATCAAATTTTCAAATACTAAACATACCACGTATTCTTTACGTATGTAATTGAAAAATATCCATAATTGAAATTTATCTCTCATGATCGAGAGGGGTAATTAATTATAGAGACTTGAGCATATAAGAAACTAGAACTCATATCATAATATCGTCGCAAAATGAGGGCAAAATATTTGGGTAGTATCTTATCTACAATCCCAATCTGCCTTCCTAAAATTTATCCTGAAACTTAATCCGTTAAAACTCCCCCTAAAGCAAGGGATACCGAAGCGCAATTTTTTAGAGACCACAATTGAACAACAAAAGTGATGTATATGACATATGTTAAGTTATTATTTTCAAATGAAATGAGTTCTCATTACTCTTATGTAGGCTTTTTCTTAAGAATGCATAAGCTACTGCATTGACTCCCCATTGATTGTTGTGAAGTGCTTTTTATAATTTATGGTAATCATTTTGTTTAACTTTGGTAATATAATCCTTTGTGGACACCTTTTCAATAAAAAATGTAACCTACTTTTCCCATAAACCACATTTAGTTATCACGAAAGGCTTTTATCCCCTACTTTAGTTTTCAATCTGAGTAATTTAGGCAAATGTTACTGGATTTTATTTTATTTATTTAAAAGAAATTGAAAATTTTTCTATAGTGTAACTTTTGGTATGTTATAGAATACAAAGAAATTTAGTATATTGATAGGAAAAATTGATATTTTATTGGGTGATTTGAAATATGTATTTATTCATGTGTGATAGTTGTAAATTAGATAATATTTTATATGCTTTATTTTCAATGAAAATGTGTTATTTTAGCTATTTTGTGAAGGAAAAATAAAAAAATAGCATAAAAATTCTAAGGAGTCTACAATGCTACAATGTCTGACAATTTCATGTCGTAGTGCTACCTTCCACACCACGGAGGCACCCCAATTAGACATGGTAGTATCAAATGTTCTAACTTTAAGAGCCTTAAAAGAAAAATGATTAGCTGGCACACTATGTTTTCTGGCTTCAAGCACTGAGGCATCACAATGTATAAAGCCTCAGCATCATTTTTGCCACTCGAGAAGCCACAGCATAATTCAGTAGCACCGCTGCATGACCATTGTAATTTCTAAGAGATATTAAGTATTAGTGAAGCAAATGATACTACACAGTAAATAACTGATCCATGTCAGCAAGCAACCCAGTCATACAAAAGTTTCAGCATTGAGATGTTAGTTCATTTCAAAAGGGTGCTGCAACGCCACATTTTAAAGTGCCACAGTGCCAGTTTTTACTTGTGTTTTTCCTATAAATAGTAATTAAATTTTTTCTGTAACAGAGTTTAGTCACAAATATAATTTCAATATATTTTAGAGTACTTCTTTTAATTTCTCTTAAAGTGACACTAAAAGAATTAAATGAAGCGTTTGATACATTCTTAAGAATGTTTGGCATATATTTTTGTGAAGCATTTCTGTAAGTTCAAGAGAAGGAGAGTAGAGTAGATACATTGATCTAATATGATGATATCATTCTCTTGTAATCTTCTTCTTTTCATGGTTTTAATAAAAATGAGTTTGTTTTCTCTTTACTTCATTTCTGGCTATATTCTTTAATTTTGGATTGATGATATAAGGAGTGTGTTGAGTACTAATAAAATCTCTTATTCAGTAAATGGAAAATGATGTTTTCAATATTACTCGTTCTTTATTTAATACACAGAGTGGTTATGTATGTAGTTAAAATCTAGTGTAATGTATAGCCTCGACAGGGGAATGCAAGCATAGCTAGGAACATTAAGATAGTATGTTTGTATGCCTAGGCATAATATATAAAATATTCTAGGTTCTTAAGAGATAATATAATTATAGGAGGTCAGTAGATATCCTTTTCAACCCCTATAAGCTTGATAAAGATTTAGGGATTCATATTCTTTGAATCGCATATATATTTTAAGAGATTCATTAGAAAAGATACAACAATTACTTTTATCAATCCATAAATATTTTATTTCATATTGTATCCAATAAACTTTTATTGGTTTTATTTAGTGATTGAATCTCCAATACCAACATTTTCATTTAGTAGAATAATTATTATAATTAGAGTAAACATTAGTAGTTAATTTCAAGTGAATATACTTCCTTGTGGGTTTGACACTCTACTCTATAACTATATTTCTTAATTCAGCATGTATACTTGTGTATATTAAGTGGGGATTTTCATTTTTATATCAAAAAAGAATTAAGCATTATTTAGGGATTGATAGAGCCCTAAAATTTTTATACAATTCTTAAGTTCACTCTACAGCCCCTATCAACCTTTTTGAGTTATTGTCAAGGAAGTAATTATTTTCTTACATCATGAACTATATTATTGAATTAATTAAATAATTAGACCTACTTTATTTATTTTAATTTTTGATTGTATATTTATGGTTGCATGTTTTTAATTCATATAAAGGAACCTTTACTGTTTGATCCTGAAATTGAGAGAACATTTTCTAAAATAAGAAAAATCCAAAAGATTTTTAAAATGCAGAACCAATTCTAGACTAAGATCATTCTAGACCTCTTAAGAATTTTGCAGGCGTTTAATAGACAGAATTCATCAAAGTATAAACAGACCTGTAATCTAAGCTAATCATTTTAAATTAAAGCCCACCATCATTCAAATGGTACAAAGTTTTTAGTTTGGGGGAACTCTTGCTGAAGATACTAATTTATATTTAGCTAGTTTCTTAAAAATTTGTACTACATTTAAGTATAATAGTGTTAGTGGTGATGACATTAGACTTAGATTATTTTTATGCTCTCTAAGGGATAAAGCTAAAATATGGTTGAATTATATACCCACGGGCTATATAACCACATAGAATGAGTAGGATCATAAATTTCTTGGTAAGTATTTCCCACCTTCAAAGATTGCTAAACTTAGGAATGGCATTACTTCTTTTACTCAGTTTGAAGGAGAAAATATTTATGAAAGTTGGGAGAGATTTCAAAAAAATGCTCCAAAGTACCCTCATCATGCTCTACCTGATTGGTTGGAAATTCAAACATATTATAATGTATTTGTAGGATCACTTAGAGCTATCATACATGTTACAATTAGAGGTTCATTAATGCCAAAGTCATTTGAGGAAGCATATGGATTAATAGAGAAAATGGCTACCAATAATTTTTAGTGGCCTACTGATAAAGTGAATCATGAGTGGCAGGAATTTATGAAAATGATGCTTTATATATCTTTATTGCATAAGTTGCAGCAATATCTAAAAAATTGAGTACAATAGGGGTTAATTAGAAATCATATGTGCAATTGAAAGACAAAAGTTTAATTATAGATAATGATATGCAATGGATTAAAAATATTAATCTAATTGAATGATAAAATAATCCTTATTCCAATATATATAATCCAGGATGAAGGAACAATTATAATTTTAATTGGTTAAATAATAATGGAGGGAATAATCAATAAAATTTCGGTCAATTCAATCAAGGAGTAAATTGAAATAATCATAATCAATCTAGTTTTAATCCTATATTAACTTATCCTCCTGGATTAATTTAATCAAAGCAATCAATTTGGAAGTTAAAAAAAATCTATTAGAGGATGTAGCAATGAAATTAGAACAACAACAACAACAACAACAACATCAAGCCTTTATCCCACTACGTGGGGTCGGCTACATGAATCCTTTTTCTCCATTGTGTCCTATTAAAAGTCAAATTCTCGTTTAAATCTAATAAAGAAAGGTCATTCCTAATATTTTCTAACCAAGTCTTTTTAGGTATACCCCTACCTTTCTTAACATAAGTCAAATCTAACACCTCTACTCTCCTAACCGGGTCATCACAAGGCCGATGTTTTATGTGACCAAAACATCTAAGGCGACTTTCTCTAATCTTATCTTCTACTGGAGCTACTCAACCCTTTTCACGTATATGCTCATTTCGTATCCTATCTCTAAGGGTAAAGCCACTCATCCACCTGAGCATCCTCATCTCAGCCACACTTAACTTAGTATTATGCTGCTCTTTTAATGGCCAACATTCGGCACTCAATAAATATATTCATAACAAGTAAATTCCAATCAAGCAATAATAAGAATGACTGGTTAGGATAATTATTATTAGTTTAAAACTATATTTATAATTTTATTCATTTCTACTACTTCTAAACTGTGAGGTATTATCCTATATTTTAGTAATTTCAATTTTTTACTTTGGTTAATCATTTAATTAGAATTATAAAATCTTTATTTGCTTGAGAATAAGGAATAGTTTAAGCTATGGGGAATTTGACAACTGTAAATTATATAATATTTTATATGCTTTATTTTTAGAGAAAATATATTATTTTAGTTATTTTTATGTAAGAAAAATAAAAATAGCACAAAAATTCTCACAAGTTTGTAGCATGGTAACATCCGATAATTCCACATTGCACCTCCACCTTCCATACCACTAAGGTGCCACAATTGGACATGGAAGCACCAAGTATTCTAACTTCAAGCTCCATGATGGCAAAATGATCAGCTTGGCAATGTCGTGTTCTCTGACTTCAAGAATCACGGCTTCACAATGTATAGTGCCTTAGTGCCATTTCTATCACTCGAGCACCGCAACGTTCAAAATTTAGAAGCACCGTGGTAGGGCTGTCAGTTCCTGACACGACCCGCTAACCCGACCTGAACCCGAGCCAAAAAATCTGGGTTCAGGTCAACCTGTGAAAGAAACGGGTCGGGTCCGGCTTTAAGGATTTGACCCATTTATATATTCGGGTCGGGTTCGGGTCAACCCGACAACCCGTGGGTCGACTCGAATAACCCGCTAAGCACTTGTTTAGTCGTTTACTCATTTTAATAAAATTCACGGCTGACTGGCGGAGCCCGTGAGTTCGCCTGTTCGAGAGGGTTCTAGGGTTTCATTTCTCGATTTCTCTTTCTCCTCGCTCTCACGCTCTGGCTTTGGGGTGGAGTCATGGAATCAATGAATCGTGGAGGAGCTGATGGAGGTTTCTTGATATCTTCTTCTGGTCTTCTGAGTTCTGAAACATCTGGCTTCGAAATTCTTCCTTGAATCCTCTTCTTTTCTCCATTTCTCAGTTGCGACTTGCAACGGTTGGTAATATATTGAATAACTCTTAATTATTTGAAATGTTGGTTTGATGGTGGTCGGTTGTTTCGATTTCTATTTTTTTTGGAGGATTTGTTCTTTCAATTTGCCCTAATTTGGTCAGCGTGAGTCATTAGTCGTGCGAAAGCAAAACTATGATGGCCTGATGGGTTTTCTGGAGTATGCTGCACATTTTATTCTTATAAGTTCTTCTTCTTCCTTATGAGTTATGAGTATAAGTGTATAACTATATGTGCCATGGCCGACTTTTCTGGAGTATGCTGCACATTTTATTCTTATAAGTTCTTCTTCTTCCTTCTGTTATACTGTTAGTTAGAGTGTCGTTTAGTGATTTACTATTACAGTTTTCCAATTTTCTTGCTGTTGAGATAACGACTTGCTGTTAAGATTACGGCTTGGTCGCTTGGGGCTCTTGGAGTTGTCGGGTTGCTGACTTGCTGTTGCTGTAAGCCTGTAATGTTGTATAACTGATTAACTGTATTCATGTTATTATGGAATATTGGAATATGGAGAATGGGTTGTTGTTGATGCTAATTGCTAACTGTTATTATGGAATATTATGAAATGTGATGAGTTGTTGATGCATGTTGTTTGTTGATGCTAATTGCTTAATTGCTTGTGTTATGAGTTGTTGATGCATGTTGTTGATGTTATGAGTACAATTTTGTGTTTTTATGTTTAGATGCAGGATTCTAATACAATTGTTGCGAGTAATCCTTCTGAGCATAATGAACATGTGCATGCTCCTGCTGATAATGAAGTGGAATGTGATAGTGATGAGTTGAACAATCCCATTCCAACTGAGGGAAGTGTTCATAGAAAGAAGAGAAAGTTGACTTCTACGGTATGGGGTCATTTTGAAATGTTGCCACTTGTAGATGATGGCAAACATCGTTGCAAATGTAAGAAATATGGTGCAACATACTTATGTGATAGTAAACATGGTAGAGGAAATTTAAGACGCCACTGGCAAAACTATAAGAAAAAGTCTCAAGATATTGGTCAACTTATACTTCAAAGTAACTCAAGAACTTCTATGTCGATGATTGCAAATAAATTTGATTATGAAGAATTTCGTTGCTTATTTACTGCATGTATAGTCAAGCATGATTTACCATTTTAGTGTGTGGAGTGGGAAGGTTTAAGAACATTACTTCGTTACTTACGGCATGATTTACAGTTTATTTCTAAAAATACGACAAGAAATGATTGCAAGAAGATGTTTAATAAGGAAAAAATTCAAATCGAAGCCCTTCTACGTAGATGTAAGGGTAGAGTATCTTTAACTTCTGATCTATGGTCTTCCATCAACATAGATAGTTTTATTTGCTTGACTGCACATTTTGTTAATAATAACTGGAGGTTGCAGAAAAAAGTAATAAATTTTGCTTTCATGCCACCTCCACATGATGGACTTGCATTATTCAAGAAACTTTATCAATTTTTGGTTGAATGGAAACTTGATAGCAAGCTTTTTAGCATCACTTTAGACAATGCTTCTGCAAATATTGTTTATGTTGATTTTCTACGAAACCATTTGAATTTGAAAAATGGTCTTCTATACAATGGTCAGTTTTTCCATATCATGTGTTGTGCACATATTATAAATCTTATTGTGCAGGAAGGTTTGAAAAAAATTGATTCATCTGTTATGAAGGTGCGTGAGAGCATTAAATATGTTAAGGGTTCTCAATCAAGAAAACAAAAGTTTCTTGAATGTGTGAGTCAAAGTTTTCTTGC